TAGAGAGTAGAAAGATTAGAAGATATTTTTGTGAGTGAAAAGAATGAAAGATTAGGGGTATTTATAGTTAAAAAAAAGAATGAAAATGTAGTTTTAAGAAGTTTGGGGTATTAAAAAAAGTTTGGGGGGTAGGGAGGTGTAAAGGAGGGTTATGGGGGTGAAAGAGCCATTGGTGGGGCCCAAAACCCGTTGCCCAACGGCTATAATTTAAAATTTTAGATTTAAAAAATAAAATAAAATTTGAACGAACCGGACCGAAATCGAGATGGAACCGGGACTAACCAGACCGGGACGGACCGGTAAATCCCGGTTTCCGTCCCGTTACCCCTCCCGGACCGGCACAATACCGGATAGAACCGGCACTATCCGGAACCGAGACGGAACCAATAACGGATCGGAACGGACCGGAAACGGTACCGGTACCTCCCGGTTCCGTTGCCAGCCTTACAGTGTCTAATCTTCGTATAAATAAATAAATAAAACAAGTTCACATACGCACAACTTCCAAAAAAAAGTGTTTGTTGACTTATTGACCTTGCTCATAGAATTGCTTGCTACAAATTGACTCTTGTTTTATTAGCTTGTTACTATACATTTTTAATCCTTATTATTCATTAAAGAATCTCACAATGTTTATTAAAAAGTTATTTACAAAGTGATGTTCAAAATTTTAAAAGAAACAAAAAAGTCACAACATTGATAAGAAATTTTCAAAACTATAATTCTTTTTGGAGCCAAATAAGTTTAATCACATAAAAATTATATTCAATAGTTCATTTTAACCTTTTTATTTAAGTTATATTCAGTTTTCTTAAATTGCGTAATCTATAATCGAATTCACAAACTTCAAACAAAAACCTTCCTTCTCCCACTTATTCATATGTATACAGGATGCTTAAATTTCATAGCATATTTTAAATTCGAAGAAAATAGTAATTCTATTTTATTTTTTATTATCAAGTTTAAAAATATAGTAATTGACTATTATTTTCAAAATATTAATCACCACTAGAATGACGATCATCTAAACCATAACATAAGAATTTGTTAGCATCAACACAACTAAAAAATGTAATTTTCACACTAAACATACTTGAATTTTTATAATGAAAATTTTAAAACTTGACAAATCAAACTTCAGATGGATATAACTGAAGCTTTTAAAACTTCAAAATAGCACGTTTATAATTAATTTTAAAGCGATTAATTCGTAAAATTTTATCGACCTTAGTTATAATCCGACTAGATTGAGAAAAGAGAAGATACATGAACTATCATGGTGGACTTGGTATTCCATTTATTATTATTTTTCCATTGACTTGGTATTTAAATACTTCAATTACAACTCTTTAATTACAAATTGCACATTAAAAATATATTAATATGAACTTAGACCAAGAAAAAGAAAAGAGCAAGAAAAGACAAAGAAAACCGTAAAGTCTCCATTTTTTTTTTCTCTTAAACCTTAAAACTCTACTTTTTTCCCCCAATTTTTTCAGAAACAAAACCCCATTAAAGGGAAGTTCAAAAATATATTTTTAGAATCTTTTATTGTTAGAACAAAGTTGAAGTAAAGTTGAAATTGTACAGAAATTGGGTTGAATTCTTAAAGAAATCTGTATTGGGTTGATCAGAAGCTGATTGTAGTAAAATGGTATTTGATTATCATCTTGTTTTCTTGTTTTTGTTTTTAGTTATTGGTATAAAGCATTTGGTTGATCTTCATATGTTAAAAATGGTGTCTTGTTGAGTTTCATATTTCACATTGTTTTAAGAGTAAAGTTGAAGTTGAAACAGAAATGGGGTTGAATTTGTAATGGAAATTGATTGGTTAGTTGTGCTTATCTGCTTCAAGAATCTATCTGATTGGAGTCATTTAGAAAATGGGATTTGATTATCATCTTGTTTTCTTGTTTTTGTTTTTTGTTATTGGTATAAAGCATTTGGTTGATCCTCATATGTTAAAAATGGTGTCTTGTTGAGTTTCGTTCATTGTGTATTTCATATTTCACATTGTTTTAAGAGTAAAGTTGAAGTTGAAACAGAAATGGGGTTGAATTTGTGATGGAAATTGATTGGTTATTTGTGCTTATTGGGTTGATTAAGAAGCTTCTTCAAGAATCTATCTGATTGGAGTTATTTAGAAAATGGTATTTGATTGTCAACTTGTTTTTGTTTTTTGTTATTGGTATACAGCATTTGGTTGATCTTCATATGTTAAAAATGGTGTCTTGTTGAGTTTCATTTAGTGCGTATTTCATATTTCACATTGTTGTAAGAGTAAAGTTGAAGTTGAAACAGAAATGGGGTTGAATTTTTGAAGGAAATTGATTGGTTACTTGTTCTGTATTGGGTTGATTAAGAAGCTGCTTCAAGAATCTATCTGATAGGAGTTATTTAGAAATAGTATTCGATTATCATCTTGTTCGTTTTAATTTGTTTGGTTGGTTTTGATTTGGCATGGAGTTCAAGAAACTAAAGAAGAGGATTGAATCTTATGGTTTTATTCATGTCACGTGGAAAGTTAAATTAAGGAGTTACCAAAAAAAGGAGAAAGGCATTCTTTTTCTGAAATAGACTAAAAAGGAAAGTAACACAAACAATATATATAAACAACATTGGTTCATTTTCATATCTTAAATAGTGCGTATTTCATTTTCGTTGTATCTGATGGTATTCAATTATCATCTTGTTCTTGAGTTTTTTTAGAGTATATTACACATTGTGTTTTGGACTGTGCAATGGAATATTTTTTCCTCATACTTTTGAACATATTCTAAGTTAGTGTTTCAAGATTCGAGATTTGGTTTAATTAAGTTAAAGGAACTATTTTGAGTTTTGCTTTAATTACTCTGTCTATCCAATTCTATGTGATGGTTTTCCACTTGTATAGATATTAAGATGTTAAATTTGACTTATATGTTATACTACTAATGGTAAAAGAAAAAAATAGAATACTCTGTAATGTTAGTTTGATAAGAAAAGATCATAACAATGGAATGGTGTGAAACACTTCACAACGTCCCAAAACAGATACAACAAAAAAACGTACCCTGTGTAGTCCCACAAAGTGGGGTATGGGGAGGGGGAAGGTAGAGTATAGGCAAACCTTACCCCTATCTCAAAGGTAGAGAGGCTGTTTCCGATAGACCATCGGCTCAAGGAAAAACAGTCCAAAGCAGTCCACAAAAGAAAGTAACAAAAGTTCAAGCAACAGCACATAGTAACACACACAACGAATAGTAACAGAACCATACTACACCAAAATAATACGATAGTCAAAGTACAAGAAATAGCAGATAGTAACATAAACTGAAGGATAAGAAACTACAGGAGCAATACTAGGACAACTAGTTTGGACAGACAACTCGAGAAAACACCACTACCTACTAACTTTCTACCCTAATCATGTACTATCTGCTATGTAGAGAGTCATATAAATTGGGACAGATGGAGTACTAGATTTTTTTGCATTATTCTCGGTTAATACCTTCTGAAGCTCTTGTACTCCTTAAACTAGTGTTGTGAACAACCTTTTACAGAGAAGTCTCATGCATTTTGCTACTAGTTGTTAGTGGTTTGCCGCTCTTAATGGTGAGCAGACTGTAACACACTCTCAGGCAGGATAAAGGGATTAACAATTCCACATTTTATATTGCAGTCATGGCTATTTTCTAGTTTAATGAGCTGGCAACTTTCTGCATATTTTATGTCTTCAATAAGTTCAGTGTCATGTAGCGTTATCTCTATTGTTTAGAAGACTTCCTTTTATTCTCATTGCTTTAGCTGTTGATATCTATATGCATTATTGTTTTTAACTGTCTGGCAGCATCAAATTGAATTCTTAACCATTTTGCTTATGCCTAAGGCCAGATTAAAGGATTAGAAAGTATATATTATGGATGACATTGCATATACTTACTGAAGAATATTACATTGTTGGATTTGCAGGCTGCTTCAGTTAGCTTAGGGGCGGGATCACTTGTTTGGGTGCAAGATCCTGATGTAGCCTGGATAGATGGGGAAGTTTTAGAGGTCAATGGTGCAGACATCAAGGTTTCTTGTACTTCTGGGAAAACGGTACGTTACAACGTCGCTTATAGCATCAGATTGCACTAAAGTAGTAAATGATAGCTTGCTTCTTATGTTTAGTAATGCTCAAAATTAGATAAGGATTTGTATTGTTCCCACCATATCTTGGGAAGTTATCAACTAAGCAGATTTGGCGGATTGACTGAGTCTCGTTCCTCTTGTTTCTTGTTAATTTTCAGGTGGTTGTTAAGTCTTGTAACCTCTACCCTAAAGATGCTGAAGCTCCACCTAGTGGTGTTGATGATATGACAAAGCTTGCTTATTTGCACGAACCAGGAGTTCTGCACAATTTAAAGACTAGATATGATATTAATGAAATATATGTGAGTTTTTTGGTGTCATTTCGTTGTTATCTTTTCGTTTTCCTTGTAGTGTTTGGCTAAGCTTAATGTTTACTGAACTAACTTGTAGATGGTTGTTTCAGACATATACGGGGAATATACTAATAGCGGTCAACCCTTTTAGAAGATTACCTCACTTATATGATAGCCATATGATGGCCCAATATAAAGGTGCCGCATTTGGAGAGCTGAGCCCTCATCCTTTTGCTGTTGCAGATGCAGCATACAGGTGTGCACTGCCCCATATTTATGGATCAAGTCCTTTATTTTGCATTTTCAGTAAGAAAATATCCCCTTTCTATGCAGACTTATGATCAATGAAGGAGTAAGTCAATCAATATTGGTAAGCGGGGAGAGTGGGGCTGGTAAAACAGAAAGCACGAAGCAGCTAATGCGCTATCTTGCTTACATGGGAGGCAGAGCTGAAGCTGAGGGTAGAACAGTTGAGCAGCAAGTCCTGGAGGTAAGATGTGGTAGATCTTTTACCATAAGTTTTTGCAAAAAAGATTTGCAACTCTGACAGTTGGTTGTCTTGCACAATTTGATTCTAGGTTTCAGGCTTAACTTTTAGATATATTTGTGCATTTTGCAGTCAAATCCTGTTCTGGAAGCATTTGGTAATGCAAAGACTGTCAGAAACAATAACTCAAGGTTAGACAGATAAAATTAGCTAACTTTTTTAGAGCATCTTGTATTATCACACATGGTTGTTAATATATCTCACACCGAGAACGCAGTCGATTTGGCAAGTTTGTGGAGATCCAGTTTGACCAGAGAGGAAGGATTTCAGGAGCCGCTATCAGAACATATTTACTGGAAAGATCTCGTGTTTGCCAAGTTTCTGATCCAGAGAGAAATTATCACTGTTTCTACATGATTTGTGCTGCACCACCAAAGGTAATGCACCAGTATTTACTTCAATAAGAATTACTTTTGCAGAAGATGGGCATTCTGAAACCATGATGTTTTATCTTTGTTTTTCCATTGGAAATTCATTTCTACGCACATAGATTTCTCGAAGTGAAAAAATTCATGCTATCTAATAAAACTTAATACAGTTAGAAGTGGATTATCCTTGTTGAGACCATATCTATTTTTTGCAAGTGAACTTGAAGGTAAGTGTTGTAATCAGATAAATCTTTAGGCAACACTCTCTACCTTGTACACCTAAATGCTTCATTCCATACACTTGATAGAAGAATATAAAAGATCATTCAATGCGAGACGTGTTTCTCATTGACTCATCCCTTGACTATATGAATCTGTCACCATAAAATGGAGGTTGAGGGGGTTCACTAAAGCCATCTCGTCATTGACTTGAGAGACAATCTCATTGATTTTGTTGCTCTACGACAGAGAACCCGTCATCTGTGTTATTTGCAAGACAAGTCTGGTTGAATCTGCCAGTTATACTTTCTGCTCCTATTTTGTGCAACTGGCGAAATTCTGATGGTGGAAATGCACGTTCTGATGGTAGAACCCTCATAATCCAATGATTGTACTGCACCTTATAGTGTTAGAATCCAAAAATGAACAAAACGTATCCGAACACTACCAGGAAACTTTGTTCTATCTTAAAGCCATGTTACTCCTAACAGGAGAATACATGACTCCTGCTGGAATACCGTGCTTTAGTTTTTCTCAGCTCATTGGGATATATGCACCTTGCTCCTGAAAATTCGTTAGAATAGGTGTGTGAGAAGCCTCAGATTTAATACAATAAATTGGCCAGGCAGCATTTTGTAACAACCAGTACTCCTGCTAAGGAGGTGGATGAACTCATAGGTAGGAGCGTTCTCATCCCCCCTCCCCCCCCCGTATTTTTTTAAAAAAAAATTGGGTTAGAGGAAGGGATTACAATGTGGGGAATCGAACCCTCACCAACAAGGTGGGAGTTCAAGTAGCCAACCAACTGAGCTACAAAGATTCCCGTGGGGCGTTCTCATTCCCAGTCTGCTAATTTGAGTTTTTTTTTTGTTTGATTAAGTAAAATAATTTTATTGACAATTGTGGAAATTCCGTGTACAAGCCATTACCAAAAGAAGAGAACCTATACCAAAATATGGTTCTCGACAAAAGAGATCCAATCCTCTATATAGATTGGGACCTCATAAGTACACCAAAAAGAAACTAGAGACGACATACTACTTTGCATTTTTACTAATCTTGATTAAAATTTAGTAATGAGACTTGGAAATTTTGCCAGTCTGATTCTGTTCTCCACTCTCAGGATATTCAAAGGTACAAGTTGGATAACCCTCAGTCATTTCATTATCTAAATCAATCAAATTGCTATCAGCTAGATGGGGTTGATGATTCAAAAGAATACCTAGCTACTAGAAGGGCAATGGATGTTGTAGGAATAAGTTCGGAAGAGCAGGTATATTTGAAAAGTTGCAGAGACAGAAAAATATATTCAAGGGTAGAATTTTAGTAAATGGTTATTTCACACTCTCTTGCAATTCCCCAGGATGCAATATTTCGAGTAGTGGCTGCAATTCTCCATCTTGGAAACATTGAATTTACAAAGGGGAAGGAGATGGACTCCTCAGCTCCCAAAGATGAAAAATCTTGGTTTCATCTGAGAACTGCTGCTGATCTGTTCATGTAAGTGATGAAATTGGCTCATTGAAGTTATTTCTATTCTATTACTAGCCTGAAGGTTTTCTCAAACAGAAAAAGTGCAGCACTTTTGAACTTCTAATATTTCCTAGGTGTGACATGAAGGCTCTTGAGGATTCACTTTGCAAACGTGTTATTGTAACACGTGGTGAAACCATCACCAAATGGCTGGATCCAGAAGCAGCAGCTATCAGTAGAGATGCTTTGGCAAAAGTAGTATACTCAAGATTGTTTGATTGGTGAGGTTTAACTTTACTGGGCAGTCAGTGAATCAGACCATCACTTATCTGCCATGTACCTGAAGCATTTACTACTCCGTTGCAAAATTGTTAAGCAATAATGACTTCGATTTTTTATGCATGCTCTTCAATTTCAATTTCAGGCTGGTAGATAAGATTAATAATTCAATTGGTCAAGATCCAAATTCGAAATCTTTGATTGGTGTGCTGGATATATATGGATTTGAGAGTTTCAAGACTAACAGGTGCTTGACTGGTATGCCTTTTTGTTTGGATTGTATGAGATGTGTTCTTCTCGAATGAACTATATAAAATTGCCTTAGCATATCAGCAAGCAGTCGATTATTTTATATCTTTCAGTTATTAGTGACTTCTCTTTATCTTTAGCCCACTTGACAGAGGACTCATAGCACAATTGCCATAAATTAATTGCCAATTCACAACCCTTTATTTACTATGATCTTGTCTTTGCTTTCTGGTGCCTAATACATGAGTTATGAGCAGTTCGATGCATCTTATTGCCTCTTTATTTGGTTGTCTCCTAAAGAGAAGTGTCAAATTTATAAAATATTGTCACCTAGATTTTGATTTTTCTGTAATTGAATTAGATGGGCTTGCAACCCTTAGACCGCCATCAATGGGATGAAATTGCCCATATAATCTTAAATGGGAAGTCGGTATTGAACTTCTTGTTGAGTGAAAGATCTTCTTCTGTGATCTTTCTAATTTTGTACTCTTTCCTTAAACTGCAGTATCAGTTTTTTATTCTGAAAGCCTACTAGTCATGGACCCGGTTTTGTAGATTGTTTAATATTTCTGATGCTATTTATTTCTGCAGCTATGAATCATACTTCTGATGCTCTTTATTTCTGCAGCTTTGAACAATTCTGTATCAATTTGACCAATGAGAAACTGCAGCAACACTTCAATCAGGTTCCGGTTATTTTCTCATCTTTGAGTTTGTTGAACTATCATTACTACTGTACTCATCTCGATCATACCTGCATGTGGTCTGTCAGCATGTTTTCAAAATGGAACAAGAAGAGTATACAAGAGAAGAAATTGACTGGAGCTACATTGAGTTCATTGATAATAAAGATATTCTGGAACTAATAGAAAAGGTTTGTGCTTAGATTTGCTTTTTATTTCTTACATTTGTTTACTTGTAAATGACTTCACATTATATAGTTTCAGTTTTTTTCACCCAGTTAAAAGAAAGCTGTTCCTTGTGCACTTTGATGCAGCATGTCCAGTCAATCCCCTTTCTTACTCTCCTCCATTTCCCTTTGTAAAATCCCTTCCATTTACATACATCAGGTTGTTCCTTAAGAATATGTTGTCTTCTACAGGAACTATCTTGTCAGTTATATATGGTTGATCTTGGATATAAGTTGAATGTTACAGCTCTATTTAACCAAAAAAGGTTGGAAGCTGCAACTGATAAAGTTAAGATGAAATTCACTTAGAGGAGATGTGTTTTCCATTGTGAGAAAGAAGAGAGTGTTGAGAGCAAACTCAACTTTATTATTTCCTCAAGTTATGGAGGTTTAAATAACTATGTTTACATGTCCTAAAAAGGAAAGGAAATCAATACAAATCAATATTCTAGAATATTCACAAGGATTCTAATACTCTCCCTCAAGCTGGTGTATACAAATTATATGTACCAAGCTTGCTACACATATTTTTTGTTGTGGAACCATCTAGGGACTTGATGAATATGCTTGCAAGATGATCATTTATCCGCACAAATCCTGTGATGATGTCTCCTCCGAGTACCTTCCCTCTGACAAAATGACAATCAATCTCTATGTGTTTAGTCCTCTCGTGAAATACTGGGTTCGATGCAATGTGAAGTGCAACTTCATTATTACACACAAGTTCCATTTCTTTAATCTCTCCAAATTTCAACTTCTTCATTAGTTGCTTGATCCATATGAGTTCACATATCGCCGCTGCCATAGCCCGATGCTTTTTTCTGCGCTAAATCTAGCAACCACATTTTAATTTTCTGGAAAATTTTAATTTCACCAACTATAACTTGGTATCTAGAAGTGGATCACTTGTTATAGGGTGACTGCCCATCTGCATCTGAATATCTAACAATTTTCTCATGGCCTTAGACTTCCTAAAATGGTCCTTTCCCTTGAGCAGATTTTAAGCATTGAAGAATGCGAATAACTGCATTCGTGTGACTGTCACCTTGGAGAATCTAAGAACTGGCTTACAACATTAACTGTAAAGGCAATGTCAGGCCGAGTCACAGTGAGATAATTCAACTTTCCTACCAACCTCCTGAATCTTCCAGGATCACTAAGAGGTTCTCCCCGACCTGGTAGGAGCTTAACATTTGGATCCATTGGAGTATCAGTAGGCGTGCAATCTGTCATCCTTGTCTCTCCAAAAATATCAAGTGCATACTTCTTCTGTGAGATGATGTTTCTTGATTTGGATTGAGCAACCTCTATGCCTAAGAAGTACCTTATTTGACCAAGATAAATTGCTGAAAAAGGTGATGTTTCAGTTTGGTAATTCCCTCGTCATCATTACCTGTGGTGACTATGTCATCAACGTAACCACCAAGTACATGCACAAATCTAGACTAAAGTGACGATAAAACACAGAATGATCGGCTTCATTTCGTACCATGCCAGATTCCTGAATAACCATGCTAAACTTCCCTACCCATGCTCGAGAAGACTGCTTCAGGTCTTAAAGTGCTCGTCATAACCTGCACATCATGTTACTAGACTACCTTAAAGCAACAACACCAGGTGGTTGCTCCATATATACCCCATCTTCGAGATCTGTATGAAGAAATATCCAATGGTAGAGAGGCCAATGCCAAACAACCACCGTAGATTAGAAGAGACTGACTGAAGCAATCTCAGCAACAAGAGAAAAGGTATCACAATAGTCAAGAACAAAAATGTATGTGTAACCCTTGACTACTAGGTGAAACTTTAGGCGATTAATCTATCCATCGGGAGCAACCTTCACCATATAAATCCGACGACAACCAACTATAGACTTGCCTGGAGGTAAATGAACGAGCTCTCAAGTGCCACTAGACTGTAAGCCAGACATCTCTTTGATCATAGCTTGTTGCCAGCCTGGATGAGAAAGAGCTTCACCTGTAGTCTTAGGAATAGAAACAAATGATTGTGATGCAGAATGGGCGGGTGTAAAACCATGATATCTCAACCAAGTATAGATAGAGTGAGGATTATGAGTAGAGTGAAAACTTTTTCCAGTGGCAATGGAAGAACTATGTGTAGACAAGTTCACAGGAGGAACAACTGGTGGCGGGCGTGAATCATTTGGTCTAGATGAGGAGCGCGGACGATGATGATAAGTCTACAGAGGTGGAGTTGGAGCTGAGGAAGATGTAGTTGTAGAAGGTGAAGTGAAAGGATAGACTATGGCAAGATCCCAAAGATGAAATTGGTATTAGAACCTCAGAAATGCCTAGATGTTCAGCAGAAGAGGATGTAATGTAGGGCTGACCTTCAAAGAAAGTAACATCAGCAAACATAAGACATAAGGTAATCGCTGGGTCAGGTGAGATGCTTCCATATACCTTTTGTACCCTCGAATAGCCGAGAAACACATTTAAGAGCACAAGGAGCCAATTTGTCTTTACTTGGAGTGAGAATATGGACAAAGCATGTCCTCCCAAAGGCACGTGGTGCAAGAGAAACCAAGTTGATTGAGGAAACAAACAGAGTATGTAACCGATTTTTAATAGCAGAGGAAGGTACCATCTTTTGAAGTTTCAATAAACTAGGGTGTTCCAATTGTATATGGATTAAATCTGGAGAGTCGCAGACCGAACAAACTGTAGTGGATCTGGGAGAATTGAGACAGTAAAGTCCATCTGACTCACACCTTTCGCCAATCATTTTTTCCATACCGAGTAACAAAGAAGTTATAAAAGAATGAGATGAAACAATATAATGTTCTTGTCAAATGATAGATCGACAGAAAGCTAAAAGGCTAAAAGGACAACCAGGGACAAAAAGAAAATTATTAGAGTCAAGGAAGCTAAGGGATTGGATTGACTAGCTCTGGTTGCCATGGCTTGAGAACTATTAGCTAACGTAAAAGTGGGAAGGGATTGAAAATAAGTAATATCAGACAATAAAGATTTGTTACTAGCAATGTGGTCAGAAGTTCCTGAGTGGCTGAGTCCATGACCCAAGGACCAAATGTGGCGGACTGTGAGATACAAGCAATAAAATAATTTTTTGAGAGAAAAGAAGACATATTTTCTGAAAAATACACTGCAGGTCCAAGGTTTTTTATTCTCTAGGGGTATGGTGCATATACCAGTACCACCTATAGGATCGGAACCCTCATGCGACCCCACACAAAAATTTCCGCTGCAGTTGGGTCCCTCATGCGCTCTCACATGCCACCTGCAACTTTAGATCTCCGTCGCTACGCCTCATGCGCCGGCGGATGTTGAGTTTCCGGCAGTATTTTCCAGTGGTCTTGCTTCTTCATTCCGAGGTTGTTCTTATAATTTTTCCTGATTCCGACCATTTTCCAGTGATCAGATCTACTTTTTCCTGTTTTAGTGACTAATTTTTTCAGATTCCGGTGACAACATTAAGTCTCGGGCCAAAATTCACTCTATTTCTTGGACACTAATAACACTCTATTTTTTGCTTTGACCCCTTATGTTTCTCGGATCCGATGTTTTTGGTACTAAATCTATGGTTTCCAGCAACCCAAACCATGGTATCACCACAAAAGCCTTGATAGATAGTGCGAACTACTTATCTTGATTTTCTCTGTTTAGCTATGGTGCAAAGGACAAGGTGTTTAAGATCACTTGTTCAAACAGGCTAAGGATATTACTGAAAATGATAGGGGGCAAATAGAAGAAGATTGATGCTTAATTGTGTAGTCTGTTGTGGAAATCTATTGATTAAAAGTTGATGTCGTTGTTCCGACCATTCCAAGCTTGCTTCTCAGTTTGAAAAAAGGCTCGTGGGCTATACACAAATGACATATCCTGCTTTTATAAGATGGTTTCTTGGTTTATCTACCTTAAAAAGCATGGTTCGGATATGTTTACTTATCTTGGACAGGTTCAGGTGGTAATGGAAGAATTTAATGAGTTGTGCCTGCTACTGAAGTGTTGAATTTTGGAGCACCACCATGTTTTTAGTCGTTACACTTTCTGGACTAAAATCTGATTTTGACTTGGTGCGGGAATCAAATTTCGGCTAGCCTTAGCAATCAAAGAAGAAAATATATGAAAGAGAGGTTACGAAGGCTGAGATATGCAAAAATGTCGTAATTTCAGCAAGAAAACTCCAGAAACTTTATTTTAGCATTGAAGGCTGAAATCACGCTTTTTCTGTATGTTGGCTCAACTCGGGGGAGCTAAGTGACTGAAATCTTGTTTTTGGCAAAGATATCTGCAACAGACATTCCATATAAGCCTCCCTTCTGTGATGATGTTGATTTCGTTCTCTAATTTACATAATTTTTTATTGATGGACCAAGATTTAATTTTCTCCTTTGTTTCTCCAGTAACATATTTTAACAATTCTTTCTCTTGCTCAGAAACCAGGAGGTATTATAGCACTCCTTGATGAAGCTTGGTAAGCCGATTTTGAATGAAGAGCTATTTTTTAGTAGCTTTTGTTATTCTTCTTTCTCATTGTTTAGATAGTCCAAACATCCCTTCTGTTTACCCTATTTACAGTCATTTCTTAGGGCTTAGGCTATTCAGACTACTGTTATTTTGTTTTTGCAGTATGTTTCCAAGATCAACTCATGAAACGTTTGCACAGAAGCTCTATCAGACTTTCCAAAACCATAAACGATTCAGCAAGCCCAAGTTGGCTCGTTCTGACTTCACTATTTGCCATTATGCTGGTGATGTAAGTCTTTTCATTTACTGTAACAAATTTTGAGCTTAGATCTTCAACTTTATTTTGAAGCCGTGGATAATTTTACATTTTCTTTTCTTACAGGTCACATATCAAACAGAATTGTTTCTGGATAAAAACAAAGACTACGTTGTTGCTGAACATCAGGCACTCCTGAGAGCTTCAAAGTGTTCTTTTGCATCTAGTTTGTTTCCAAAATCAGTGGAAGAATCCTCAAAACAGTCAAAGTTCTCTTCTATTGGTTCTAGCTTCAAGGCATGTTGCTTCTGTTTTCTAACGTATTTTGCTCCTCTTTTCATCTATGCAATTAGACAGAGATATATTGAATCATCACATGTTCTTTTATATACTTTGCAGCAACAACTGCAGTCTTTGCTTGAAACTCTGAATGCAACTGAACCCCATTATATTCGATGTGTGAAGCCAAATAATCTGCTAAAGCCCTCTATCTTCGAGAATCACAATGTTCTGCAACAGCTGTGCTGTGGGGTAAGGAAATGTATTGAATTTTTTTCAAATTGGTGGCATATATATGAATGGAAAGTTTGTGCTCACTGTTTTTTCTTCTGTAGGGAGTGATGGAAGCAATAAGAATAAGCTGTGCTGGATATCCTACTCGGAAACCCTTTTATGAATTTTTAGATCGCTTTGGCATCCTTTCGCCTGAAGTTTTAGATGGAAGGTACCTATTTACCTTGTACTATTTGATCAGATTGTCAATGTGTTGTGATTTTTTCTGACTAACTTATGACAGTACGGACGAGGTCACTGCATGCACACGCCTTTTAGAGAAAGTCGGCCTTCAAGGATATCAGGTAATACATTACCTCATTAGAGGTTATAGTTTAAACATGAAACAATTCAAACTTATCTAGTTCATTTCTGTAATTTTGGAGTCTCTTAACAATTTCAGATGATAACCTCACTTGACAGAAAGTCTGTTTTTATCTCTTTTAACTGATATTTATCTAGCATATTTTAGCACATTCTTCATTCAGTAAAATGTTTAAAGAATTTCAGTGGTTCCATTTTGCATTTGTTGCACACCTGAATCCTATCGGGCTTTTGGCAGGTCAGATATTTGGTGAATAATTAATCTGTAAATTCTTTCGTCTTTCTGGTGGCCTCCTCTCGTTGCTACGTGTACTTCCTTTCCTTCTTAGCATCTCTATATTCTAGGTATTATTGGTTATATTGTTCAGTTGTATTATATGCTCATCTTTCTTGTTTTTTCTTGTAATTTCATGGATGCACTGTGAATTTTTTTAGTTTTTGAAATTTTCTAGTTTTGTGTCTTTACTGATCATGATAGTGTGTATCCCTTTCATAAGTATAGTATTTTTTTCATCTTCTTCCCAGAGTTCTTTTGGTTCTTGTTTTATAATCATATGCAGAAGATGTTGGCATTAAATTCCACAAGCATCATCCTTAATGTCTGGAATATATTTCATACTTTCCTGGTCTTTTTACTTAGGTCAACTGTAGAATATTTCATTCTTTTAATGATCTAAAAAGGCAAAATAAATAAATAATCAGAATCCCTCTGGATTTCGTTTGTGAGATGTCTTCCATGTGGAGGAAGCTTCAGGAAAGCCAATCATTTGCCCATTTTGCCTTTGCAGATTGGTAAAACAAAAGTGTTTCTAAGGGCTGGGCAGATGGCAGAGCTAGACAGTCGCAGGACAGAGGTGTTAGGGAGATCGGCGAGCATCATTCAGAGGAAAGTTCGTTCTCACATGGCTCGAAGAAATTTTACATTATTACGTCAGTTGGCAAGAAGGATACAATCGATGTGCAGAGGTATTTCATTTGCTATACGCTTGGATTTTGGGCTCGTAGATTAAAATCTATTAATGTTTTCATTTCTCATTGTTACAGGAGAACTTGCTCGGCGTGTATATGAGAGCTTGCGGAGAGAAGCAGCTTGTCTGAAGATCCAGACAGACATGCGCATGCATCTTGCTAGGAAGGGTTACAAAGAATTGTGCTCTGCTGCCATTTCAATTCAGACAGGAATGCGTGGGATGGCTGCACGCAATGAAGTACGATTCAGGAGGCAGACAAAAGCTGCCATTATCATTCAGGTAAACTTTTTGTAATGGAAGAATAATTCTTTGAAATCTTGAGAAACTTTTCTAATTTAGGATCAACAGACTATTTGGAATAGTTATGCTCTACCTGTTTATTAACTTAATTCCTCGGAAGCTGTGATTCACACTTTATAATGATCTTCATGCTATATGTACAGAGTCATTCTCGTGCATTCTTGGCCCGGTTGAAATACAAGAAACTCAAGAAAGCTGCTATTACCACTCAATGTGCTTGGAGAGCTAGAGTCGCTCGTGGGGAACTACGGAAACTTAAGATGGTGATATCTCATTCTTCATCTCCTCTTTATCCTCTTTATTGATCCAGAGGTTCTTAGCTGCTACAGCCTGTGTTAGCATCTGTATTCTGAGTTGATACACAGTTTAAATTTCTCGGAAATGTATTAGATTACTGTATGCTTAAATCCTGTAGAAACTAACTGCAGTTATGCTTCTCACTGCTCATGCTTACATCAAATTTAGACCTCTAAATTCTCTTTCATGCTTTAGGCCATTCATACTTGGAGTGAATACTTTGAAGGGTATCAGCATTAACTTCTTATAAGCATTTAAGTAACTGCCTTCAAGAACTTGCAAGCTATAGTACACAACTGGAAATGTGTCTCTTAGTAAAACTTAGGGACTCGTTTTTTGCAGCCAGTGAGAGTCTCTGAGTACACAAGTCATAATGCCATGCTGCTAGAGTTGCATTTTGTCAAATTCCCCTACGGCCAAGTCGACTTTGCTTTTTAGATCCATGAATTGTTGTGCAAGACAGATAATTTCAAATGATATTTTGTATATTCATCCAGATTTGATTTATCTCACATTTTAGTGCCAGCTCATGTTACATTCAACAGTTTATATCTTCCTAGGGAAATCCCCAGTTTTAAATTTATCGATACTAAAGGTTAGAAAGTCAAGTTTATGCATTTCATGCACCATGCTCAGTTTAAGCAAACAACGTGATAGTTGGCCTGCTTGCAAAAGTCACCCTTTCTTTATTACTATACTTTTGATTGAATATCTATTGTTTGTTCTCAAACAGTTCCATTTTTGTTCGGAGTTCCATTCTAACTTATTTTAAGCATAGGCTGCAAGGGAGACTGGTGCGCTTCAAGCTGCAAAGAATAAATTAGAGAAGCAAGTTGAAGAATTAACTTGGAGACTACAACTGGAGAAACGCATGAGGGTAAATTCTTTATCTTAAGATGCTGCTGTGCCCTATTCTTAAACCATAAAGGATTTATCATCTAGAACACACAATGCACTAGAGGAACTCAATCTTGAAATAATGCTGTATGATGGACTTGGTGAAAGCTTTTAAGTGTTTGAGCATGAATCTAATACTGTAAATCCTCATATGAGTCCATGTTGATCTGTTAAGCTGAGGACGGAAAAAACAAACTTTTTAACTAGAGTCATGTTTTTCAAAGAAAAGCTTCGGAGCAGGAATAGGTACATCATACATGCAATTCTATAATCATATTTGACGAAGGAAACACAAACAAAACCACTGCTGATTGGAATCACATATAGACTCCCTATTTAGTTGAACTGGTAGCATGAAGTAAAATGGACCACAATTTATTGATGGGCCTAGTTGACTAGAAGTATTTGCTTCTGTCAAAGTGGAATAGGAATATAAGAAAATGGTACAAGAATAAGCTAATTCCGTCTCTACCACTGTATGCTTTTAAGTGTCTGCCTTCCAGTTTAAACAATATAATTTTGTTTTTGTAGGCTGACATGGAAGAAGCAAAAACACAAGAAAATGCAAAACTGCAATCAGCTTTGCAAGAAGTTCAACTACAGTTCAAGGAAACACAAGAAATGTTTGTCAAAGAACGTGAAACTACAAAAAGGGCGGCAGAGGAAGTTCCTATTATGCAGGAAGTTCCTGTTGTTGATCATGAAATGATGAACAAACTTAGTGTTGAAAATGAGAAACTAAAGGTAGGTTTGTTGAAACAAGGGAGTTTCAAGTGTAAACGACTTTCTTGTATTCACAGGAGCTACTTGCACTCAGCTCTTGATGCTCCTTTTTGTTTTTGATTTCAGTCTTTGGTAAGCTCTCTAGAACAGAAGATTGATGAGACAGAAAAAAAGTACGAAGAGACAAGCAAACTTAGTGAGGAGAGGTTGAGGCAGGTGTTGGATGCAGAGTCTATAATTGTTCAGTTGAAGACTACTATGCAAAGGTTTAATGAGCTTATGTCATAACTCATAAGTAGCTTGAATGGATAATCTTATGGCAATTTTATTTTTATACAGATTGGCTCGTGAGTATAATTCAATGTAATTCATTTCTACTCATTGCATTTTCTGGTTATAGGTTCCAGGAAAGGAATTTTGATTTGGAATCTGAGAACCAGATTCTTCAGCAATCTCTGTTAGCCCCTGCCAAGCAGGTTTCAGATCATTCACCTAGTCTGTCTTCCAAGGTATTTGCCTTTAAAATTCAATTATTTATTAGTTTCTTTCCTTCCCTCTTTCCCTTTGACAAATTCTGCCTATCACATTGACACTATTATGTAGGTGCAGATAGAAGAAAATGGCTACCACCTCAAAGAAGAAACTAGAACCAATGTAAGATACTCTTTTCTTGTCATCCTGCAACATCATGTGAAGTACAGGTGACAAATAGGCAGGTTTGATCAAACTTGGGTAGGTCAAATCTATAAACGGAGCACTATACAACCAACATAATAGTTTGGTTGGGTCAAATACAACAACAACAGCAGCATACCCTGTGAAATCTCACAAATGCTGGGGAGGGTAGAGTGTACGCAGACCTTACCCCTACCTCATGGAGGTAGAGAGTGTGTTTCCAGAAGATCCTTAGCTCAAGTGCAGCAAAACCAAATTGCATCAAATAATTGGTCATAATCCATCCAGCCTAACATGACCCAACCTTTTCTCCTTTTTATTTTGGCTTTTCAGAAAAAGTGTGTAAAATCTTATATACTCCCTCCATTTCAAAAAGAGTGGTCTGGTTTGACTTGGCACGGAGTTTAAGAAATTAAAGAAGACTTTTGAATCTTGTGGTCCTAAATTAAAGTTATGTCAAATGTACAAAATTGCCCTTAATCTTGTGGTCTTAAACATGCCACGTGGAAAGCAAAAAGTAAAATGTTACCAAAAAAGGAAAGAGGTCATTCTTTTTGAAACTGACTAAAAAGGAAAGGAGGTCATTCTTTGTGAAACGGAGGGAGTAATTATTAGCTCAAGTCTTCCAAATTTACTTAATTGTTAATTCTCAATCTCCAAACTTGATTTCGTATGCTCGGGTTTGTGTTGCATTTTGACCTGTTGCGTTACACTATTTTGATCCATTTTGACTCAATAGTTGGATGAGTCATTCTGTTGCGATCCTTGGGTCAAATAAAAAAGTATCATACTTCAACACGTTTGAATTAGGGCGGGTTGAGTGGATTACTAGAAAATGGCTTGATTTTTCCACACTAATGTTTGGTAGTTGTCAAATTTCAATTCATGCTCCATGCTTATGAGATGATTGACTTTTGCAGGATCCACCAGGTTCAACACCTGCTAAAAAAGTTGAAACCCCTAATAGCAAGTCAAGGAAACCTCCTATTGACCGACAACGTGTATGTACTTCCCTGGCGAACCTTTTGTGTCAAATTTCTTATTGTTTGGTGGAGAAACATTTTATAAACTGATATCTTGGTGAACCATGCTGCAGGAAGACATTGGTGCACTCATTGACTGTGTGATGAAGGATGTTGGATTCAGTCAAAGCAAGCCTGTTGCAGCTTTTACCATCTACAAATGTCTTCTTCACTGGAAATCTTTTGAAGCAGAAAAGACTAGCGTGTTTGATCGTTTAGTGCAGATGATTGGTTCTGCCATTGAGGTAACTAAATAGAGAATTGCAACTATTGACTTTGAAACAGTGATAGAAACAAAGCAGTAAAATGTGTTTACCCAGTTATATTGAAATTTGAAACTAAGATGGAAAATAGCTCAAAGCTTCAACAGAATTTCATTAGCTATTCCTGATTTCACTCAACTACCTGCTGTCAGCATTTGATAAAAAATCAAATAATCGACTTGCTTCCATCTTTGATTGTCGCATAGCATTTATATAAATTATTGTTGGGAGAGTGTCACTATGATATTCATCAATAAGGCTAGCAGAGTTATTACTTATTCCGAAGAAAAAAGATTTATCAGTGTTATAATCTCATTATCATATTATTTGCACCAAAACATTTGGATTAGTTTTAGTTATTTATAGCAGTTCGATACTCTTTTTGATGTGATTGATATTTCATTGGTGTGATGGAAAATCATATGATAACATGTCAAGAAAAATCATTTAGTGGGTTCTCAAGAAGCAAGAAATTCATACCAACTATATGAAGGATATGTACAAAGGAGCATCACGGTCTAAATAGTTGGTGATAGAGGAGGATTCTGTAAAAATGGGTTTACACCAAGGATCTACCTTGAGCCTGTTACTTACTTGGTGATGGATAATTCTATGGTGCATGCTTATTGCTAAGGATGGAGTGTTAACTGGCAAAAACAGCGAGAAAGTCAACCAGAAATTAGAATTATGGAGAATCACTTAGTAAGGGTTTAGGATAAATAGAACTAAAACAAAGTATATCTCGCTGCAAGTGTAGCCCCCATAAGAAGAATGAAGGTGAAGTGAGATTTGACACAACTATGGTGCCTACATTAAAATAATTAAGACTGCAAGAATTTCAACTCCTTACGTTAATAACTGTGAATACCATTATAACCTGCATTGTTACTAAAGCATATATGAGGAATGTTGTCTGTGTCATTCTGCTGCTTTGTGATGAAATCTTATAATCTTCAAAAATGACTCCTAAGGTGATAAGAAGACAGAAACGCGATTAATTTCTTAAATTTGGAGGTTCATGTTTCAGTAGACTTAATACAAACTAGAATATGATGAGAAGTCTTCTAATTGCAGAATCAAGATAGTGATGACCACATGGCATACTGGCTGTCAAATACCTCAACATTGTTATTGTTAATCCAAAAAAGCCTGAAGCCAGACAGTGCAGTTGGTGCGACTCCTACCCGTAAACCACAGCCTGCAACATCCCTGTTTGGGAGAATGACATTGGTATGAGAACTTTTCATGTTGAGTTAGTTCTTCTTTAAAACTGATTTAGAGTACTAAAATCGTAGCTATAGTAGTTTTGCTCCCATGCATGTACTAACTGATTTTGCTGTTATTGTTTTCAGGGATTTCGCTCGTCCTCTTCTGACATCAATCTTGCTGGAGTAGTGCACCAGGTTCAAGCAAAATACCCAGCTCTGCTTTTCAAACAGCAGCTTACAGCATATGTTGAGAAAATGTATGGAATTATTCGTGATAACTTGAAGAAGGAGTTAGGGTCACTTCTTTCCTTATGTATCCAGGTATGTTGAATTTTACAAACTGCAATCCACCGTCTTCAATAAAAAAGGCCTTCCTGCATTTCTTCATGTTTCTTCTTGCTTTGTGCTTCTAAAACTTCAGGATGGCTCTAAGATGATATTGCACAAATAGAAATTTACAAATCTTTTCAACTTAATTTTACTTCTTGATTAACTTTTTTGCATGATTGTCAATATTCTCCTCTAAGCAGAACCCTGGTAATTTAACAATTATTACATGATGCCAAATAAATGCACTCATCGAAGGAAGAAATAGTTCTTCAATTTTGTGGTTTAGTCTACAAGCATAATAACATGACTAAACCTTAATCCCCACTAGTTATCACTGATATTGATATTTGTTTCCATTTTATTCTAATTTTTCCCCTTCGTCCACATACATTTCGACAGGAAAAAGCATCACACAGAAGTGTAAAATTCTGAATAATTTAATAAATTTGAATTTTTGAAAATTGTGAAAGTTATATTAAAATGAAAATAGTGGGGAGAGTACAAAATTTTCCTCTTATACAGGTGAATTTGTTTTATGTGTTTAAAATGTTTCCCTTCTACTGTTTAATGGGATAATATTGACGGGCACATCGTTTTATAGCATTTCAATTTTTTTTGTAAATTTTCTTCACTTCTATCTTTTTTTCGCCTGTTTTTAATTGTTTCTTATGATATATTTCAATTTATCACTGTGTTTTGCTTTTCCTTCTAAATTTTTTGTACTGTGGAGCAAGGTGGACATTCTTTTGTCTATTAAAGCCTTCAGCTTTTCGCATAATAATATATGATATGTTGAAAATTCAGGCACCAAGGACCTCCAAAGGAAGTGTGCTAAAGTCTGGTCGATCCTTTGGCAAAGATTATTCAATAAATCACTGGCGAGGGATAATTGAATGCCTTGATTCTCTTCTCTGTACTTTGAAAGAAAACTTTGTAAGGCCTCACAGACCTTTTCCTGTTTCACTATCTTTCTAGTTATAAGGAAAGCTAATATTTGCTGCCTTCCATTCTCAGATGCCTCCGATTCTTGTTCAGAAGATATTTAGTCAAGCCTTTTCATACATGAATGTACAGCTCTTTAACAGGTGACCGGGTTTTTTTTATCTAAGTTGTCTTTAGTTCTTTGTCAGTTTAAGCTTTCTAATCTCATTTAAATTATGCAATCATAGTTTTCTTCTTCGCCGGGAGTGTTGTACATTCAGTAATGCAGAATATGTTAAATCTGGCTTGGCTGAGCTAGAGCTGTGGTGCTCCCAAGCAAAGGAAGAGGTAATTTATGGTTCACTGTTATCACCTAAATGAAATTTTTTGGATCTAATTCCTTTTTTTTTCCATTTATTCCTGGCTTGCAGTATGCTGGCTCATCCTGGGATGAACTCAGACATATACGACAAGTTGTTGGATTCTTGGTAATGTTAATATATTTCAATCTTTCTTTTAATATTTTTTCTTCCAGTATCATTGATTAGAAGTAGCCACATAACTTACCACAAACCAAGTTTTCAACGCTGACCTATGCTGAAAGAGTAGGACATGGGCCAATTTGCATATCCGCGCTGCAAGGTTATTAAATGCTAGATTTTAAGAACCCTTACATATTCATTTATCTCTTAACATATATTACATGGATATTGACTTCCTCAACGTGTTGCCTCACTATTATTTGATTCTGGTAGTCTAAGCTGTTCTGGTTCCGTCAATCTATCTAAATGTGCCATCTGTATTTCCTTTATCCTTTTTTATTTTTGGGAAGTTTTCTTTTAATCTCAGATGAAAGTGTTTGAGCAAGTAGATATGGTTTATTGTGTAAGAAAAAAGTTCTGAGACATCGTGTCTGGAAATGAATTAGTAGTAAGCGGGACTGCTGAAGTTTCCCTGAGTTTTTTGGTTAGTTACTAATTTCTTGTGCTTCAATATAAGCATTATGGCTATTATGACTTGGCTGTTGCAAGATAATTGTTGCTTTTCCTTTTTTCTTTAGAACTTGCTTATGTCTATTACTATACATATGCAGTGCGATCCACAATTGATATGGAGTTTTCTGTTAATTGTTACTCTTTTGCAGGTTATACATCAGAAGTACAGAATTTCGTATGATGATATCACTAATGATTTGTGTCCTGTAAGTCAATTTTCTCCAACAACATTAGCTCTGAGTCCAGTGTTGTGAAATGCATTTGTAGAAGTATTAAAATTTAAGATCTTCACCATTTTGCAATTTAGATATGAAGAGTTCTTTGTCAAAACTTTCTTCTCTACCAGTCCAGGACAGAACTTGGTTTATCAATTTATCTTTTCTGGTTTCCATTTCATCGAGCATAAACCATATCACCTTCCTTAAAATGTGAAATTCTGGTTTTACAGGTTCTCAGTGTCCAGCAACTTTACAGAGTATGTACTCTTTACTGGGATGACAAATACAATACACGAAGTGTCTCCCCAGATGTAAGTTATGCGTGGCTGATGGTATTTTTCCGATTGAAGTCCTACCTGTGCAGGTTCATATCAGTCATAGTTGAATGTTGAGGGAATTTCTTTTGTCCTGACAGGTCATATCTAACATGAGGGTACTTATGACAGAGGACTCGAACGATGCCAAGAGCAACTCTTTTTTGTTAGATGATAACCCAAGGTGAGAAACTATTCAATGTTTAGAAAAGTTATGTCATCCTCTGCCAAATTTGGCACAAGCAATTTTCTTGGATGCTTCTATCATGATTTTGCCTTATATTATGTCGTTAGAAATATAACCTGGAAGCTTTCTTTATGTACAATGTGGGTTTTGTAAGTGTGCTCTTTATTACACAAAAGCATAAATGAAGCATAAAGGAACTTCTCATATTCCTCATTCTTTTCCTATTGTGCTCGGACTCTTCAAAAATGTCACCACGTGCGTGTCAAATCCTCCATAAGTAGTGCATTCTTGGAGGATCCACCACGGGAACGGCATCATTTTTTGAGAGAGTTCTTTTGTATTGCCTTAAAACATCCACCAGTTCCTTATCAAAAAAAACATCCACCAGTTCCCTTCATTCAAGATTATCAGAGAAAATCATAATGGGAGCCCTCCATACTTCGCCATCACCCGTAACACCATTTCCGGGATAACTCCATTGTCCAGGGTTGTGAAGTCTCTCTATAACACAAGAATATGATCCTTGCACATTGAACACCAACTTATACAATCCAATTTGTCCTCCTTTAACTGTTTGCTGTAAGGGTTGCATTCTATGTGGTACATGATTTGATGGAAATAGCTTTATTCGGCATTTTTGTCTTTCACACTCTCTTCTGCCTGTCTTCATGTCTACCCTCTTCAGTAAGCAATCTCAATAAGATCTCACCGTGAATATACTTGTACCCAGCCATCTTGATATATTTCTATCCTCTGGATTTTCGGATCCACTTCCACCCATGATAACTCTCTGGATCATATTTCCCAGGATAAACCTCAGGTGCTTCTTGTGATTAAGATAGCCATGGTTGCAATAATATCATCTGTAAAGCTTACACCCGTGGACACACCTACTTTAAGATTGTATCTCCACACCAAAAATCCAACCAAAAATTGTACCTCTAATTCCCGGCATGAAGCCAATGAAGTGGAGTCCTCTTTCCTTATAATCCCTTCCCATGCGCTTACTACATGCCTATCATATTCATATCTCCATAATCATGTCCCAGTCATGCTATACTCTCTCTGCTCCATTTTATATGACACTCTGTTTGAAAAAATGGCATGTTTCTATATTAGGAAATTTTTAACTTTGAACGTCAAAACTTTCCCGTCCTCTTGCTTTATGATGAAAGGCCACAAAGCATTGCTTTCGGATTTTCCAGAGAAAAGAGGGATTGAACAGTTTTCCCAAAACAAAGGATTGATTGAATTATCTTATTTAGGACAATTCATGGTTAGTCAGAAAAACAAATCTAATGGATTTACCTAGGTTAGTTTATGGGCTTATCGGTCAGAGCAAGCACAACACTCGTACTCCTAATTACATGCTTTTATAGTCAGAGAAATGTCGTGACATCCTTAAGACCGTAAGTTGTAAGGGTAATTTTGGCATATGCCTGAAGTCTGTCTTTCTTTCTTAAACTCCATCTATAATCAAACTTCACCATATAAAATGAGAAACGGAATCTATTCTCCGTATCCTAACCCTTCATCCCTTATAGCGGGGTTTGTTATTTTCTTTCACTCCTCCATGTTCTTATTTCTGTTCCCCTATTTTCCTTCTTATGGAAGATCTCTCATCATTTTCTCTTATTCGCGTTTACTTCTGTGGGCATACAAAAAATTAACAAAAACAAAAAGTACTAGAAGTTCCCTATAATTTCTACTGGCATATAAACGTTAACCAGTCTAAAGGACTCCTAAAAACATGACCTAAAGTAAACGTGCTAACATGTCTGAGTTGATTCAAGAAGCTAATTCTAACAAGTGCATCTTTTCAACTGCAGCATCCCATTCTCAATTGAAGAAGTTTCAAATTCACTTCAAGTCAAGGATTTCGCAGATGTCAAACCTGCAACCAAACTTCTTGAGAATCCAGCCTTCCAATTTTTACATGAGTGAGGCCTAGGAACACCAACATTTTCTCGTGTTTGCATGAAATATTATTGTACCATCCTCGACAGTCATCCTCGATTTCTTGTACATTCATCTTTTCCTAGTTCATTTTTTTTACCAATATATCTTTATGTAATATAATTTTCTTGTGTATAGTTATAATTCATAGCAAAAGGTGTAGTGTGTAAGCAATTGAGCTTTGTATCCTATCCAATTTTGGTGGGGGCAAAGAACAGCACCAATTTTTTTGTACTTTTTTTTGAGAAATTAGGACAAAAGCATATTGGTTATATTGAATGGTGTAAATGTTTTGTGTATTCTATCCAATTTATATTTGTAATGAAAGAGGTAGCTATGGGGTATTGTTCTGAAGATTTCTGAGAACAAAACACCACCGAAAGCACTATTCGTTTGGCCAGAAATGGTCTTGTATCGTGTCTCACCATAATTTCCTGAATGATATGTCGTGTGAGATTGTTCGTTCATCTTCGTTCAAGAGTTTATGAAAGTATGTCCGTTACCTTTGTCTAATGAGTGCCTTCTGTACCAATATTCTGCCCTCGTCGTCTTTGATGTACTTCACTTGATCTAAGTTTCCGACCTTCCTCTCTATTCACAACCTCGTTCAAATCCTTCCAAAAAGTTAAAAGCCATTTTTACCTTTTTCCTTATTATAAATTATATAATAATAAATATATATATTTATATAATATTCTTTATTATAAATAGTGTATTAAATATCAAAATATTTTGTCAAAATCTTTAAAGCAATAATTGATGATTCTAATTCTATAAAAATGATTAATTATTATATTATCTTACTACTCTCTGTCAAACAATACTTGTCCATTATGAATTTTGCACATTTCTTAAGTAACTATTACTATATCATTCTTTGAATATAATAAATACAATGTCTTAAATAATAGAGAAATGACTATAATTAATGATAAAAAGTAAATTATCCATTGATTTAAAGTAGATAAGTATTGTTCTGACATCTCACAATAATATCGTGGACAACTATCGTTAGGCAGAAGAGTTAAAAAAAAGAAGGTAATTTTACAAAGAAAGTTGTGTTGATTCCATCTTTTTTTCTTGGTTAAGCGCAGGGGAATTCTGATTTAAGCTTTGATTTGTAGATTCTTGTGCCTCTTATTGTTGCTAGGGTTTAATATTCTTCAACATTGAATTTGAATTTTTGGTATAGAGTGCATGTGATTTTAGGTCTTTTTGGTATAGAGTGAATAGGCTAAAAAAATCTTAATTTATCACCATTTTGCGAGTTTTATACCTAAACGAGTTTATTGACCCAAGTCTTGTGATACTATTTGGTAGTTATGAGGTTCTGATTAAGAGTTAGCTGATATCAGAAGAGCAGATTGATACAACTTTATTAAAGAACGTTGTTGATGTATTTGTTGGAATTGGAAGGGGCAAAATAATGGAGTATAATGTGAATGACTTTGAAGATGCAATGCTTAGAGATTCTCGAAAAGTTTGCAAATTGGATCGTGGAAGATTCTTATTCAGATTATATATTGAAGATTCCACTCATTTTTATAATTTTCTCCGTAAAAATTATAATTTTTATAGTATTGAAGTGCTGATATGTGTGTTCTTGCACAGGCTGTAATTAAGTTCAGGCTCATTCTGCCAGATGATACCATAATACAACCGTCATCTTTTATATCAACATTTCACTATGACGGCCATTTTTTGGAGCTGATTATCAAATTATGTTCTCTATTAACAATATTTCGCTATAGCAGCCAAAATATATCGTTTGGCTGTAATGGGTTTAACGCATAACACAGGCAGATGTCTGCATTACTCCCTTTGATGTTAAATTCTTCGACAGTAAAACATTGGCAAGGTAAAATTTACTTCGTCTCTACCCAGTTTTACATTTCATATTGAGATGCTAATAGTCTTGTTGTTATCTAAACCTCTGGCTCTCCAACATAATTTTACTATGTTGTACTCAATATTTTGAACACTTAGTCTTTTTAGTGTTGTCAAAGGTGTGCTTAAGCCCTGAGACAAGGCTCAAAACGTATTGAGCACTCCACCTCACTTTATGTGCGCTTCAGTGTTGTCATCAAGGTTCTAAGGCATTCTTTTCCTTGCCAATGAGCTTCTTCTGAAGAGGTGGCACTAAACATAATGAGTGATCTTAGGTGTATTTATGCGCATAATAACTAATTTACCCCATATATCTAGCCAAGTTCAAGAGCAAATTTCTCTTTTGAATTGCATTTCAATTTATTGTGTTTCCTCTAACCAAGATGATTAGGTGTCTGCAGGGTGATAAGCAAGCAAAGGAGCTAAAAAAATGAAAGCATCCAAGATGTTGGAAAATAGAAGTCGAAGTTGCTAAGGAGAAATGACCAAGAAGCTGGAAAAATACACTACGAGGGAGCACCTCCACGTCGCGGAGTTGAAGCCAGAATGTGGACAACGAATTTCACAAAATAGTGGAATGCACGATGGAAGCGCATCGCGGAGTTGGCTCAAGCTATTCGAAATGTGCAGCGAGGGAACAGGTCCGCGACGCGGACCTGGACTCCAGATTTGCACCACGTGTTTTATTTCAGACTATTCCAGATTTGCATCACGTGTTTTATTTCAGACTATAAATAGTCCAGCTGTATTATTTTATCATTATTCAGTTTTTGAAAAACGGGAGAACACGATTTGGGCGATTTTGCGGACTATCTCTAGGGCTTTTCTTCTACTCTTTCACTTTGGTAAACACTTTTATGATCCTTGAACATTATTTGATGATGATTTATTCTATAAGTAGTTAAATTCCCTTATTCTAGGGTTGTAGCTGCGATTAATGGCATAATAGTATTTATTTCTAGCATGAGATGGGTTTTCTTATGATTTATGCTTGCATTCTTGTTTAACTATTTTGATGATTGATCAACATTAAAATAAACTCATTGTCTGCTCTTGAACTCGGAAGACGAATAGAGGGATAGACCAAGGAATGTGAGAAACGTGTTCATTCTAGGGTAAAACTTAGAGTGTTTCGTATATAGGATAGGATTATACCGATATGCCTCATTTGGTTAATGTACAAGATGATAGCTTAATGCTCCGCTATTGGTTCATGTCTATCCCCGCTCATCGATGTAGTTAGGTTGTCAGTGGTGGTAGGCGATTAGAGGTCGGGAGACCATGATCGTAAATTTAACCTTGTGAATCAATAATGAGGTTAACCTGTCAAATGCTAGGATAAGTTATTATTGTGTTTGAAATCAGTGCATGCTACAACCCTGGAATATTTCCCAAATTGTGAAATCCCCTTTTTTGTAACCGATTTAATTGTTAGTAATTAATAATTACAACTGTTTAACTTAGTTGATATAAACAAATTCCTGAACTCGTCTGTCGCATAAATAAATTTATTTTAATTACAATAAAGTTAGTATTTGTTGATTTGAAGTCCTTTGGGTTCGATAATCCGGCTCGAAAGAGTCGTTATACTACTTGAGTGACCACGTACACTTGCGTGTGCTTCTGGACGCAACAATGAGCCTCTTCCAATTCCAACAAATACATCTTTAATAAAGATATCGATTGAATGTATGAAAATATTTCATATAAATTGCTGAGAGGGATGTGGAAGATGAAAAAAATCTTTAAAATGAGTTAACGTGACACAATGAGTTCATAGTAATCCAGAGGTTTTGTGAACACTCAATATATTAGGTATGAAACTTGCGAAATAGTTTACATGTGTACAGTCACATGAATCTCATTGGAAGAACTTTTGGAGCGTGATGTTCATATAGCATGTCTTATTCATCCGGGATGTATTTTTATATGAGTTCAAGGTGGTTTTGTGAACACCCGATATATTAGGTGTGAAACTTGCAAAACAATGATAATTTAAATTTTGTATATGAGGAAATCGAAATTGTAATAAAAGATTTCTTCTTTTTGCTTTAGCTAGTGTGCATTGATGATGTTTTTCTTCTTTATCATTGAAAGTTGATTGACACTATATGTTCAGATGATTATTAATTGAGAAGTTTTTTTTAATATATAATCATGGCGTTTAGGCCAACTAAGATGGTTTGCACATGTGAAGAGGAGGTGCGCGGATGCATCAATTAGGAGGTGTGAGAGGTTGGTTGTAACAACTAACAAGTTTTAGGGGAGGTAGAGGTAGGCCGAACTAGAACTGGGGGAGATGATTAGACAAGACATGACACATCTTTAGCTTATTGTGGACATGGCCCTAGATAGCAAGGTGTGGAGGCCGAGGATTAGGGTAGAAGGTAGTAGGTAGCTGAGTGTTATCCCACATAAACTTTTATGTGGGAGAGGCAGGGGCTCAGTCTTCTCTTCTCCGTATTTAGTAATTTTAGTTAATAGTCGCATAGCATCTTATTCTTCAATTTTCACAACATGTTGCTTCTTTTGCTTTGGGTATCTAGTCATTGCGATGCTGATATTATGCTTTCAATCCTGCTTTGATTACATTTTTAAAGTCGAGGTCTATCGGAAACAACCTTCTCTACCTCACAAAGGTAGGAGTAAGGTTTCCATACATCCTACCCTCCCCAGACCCCACTTGTGGGATAATATATTGTTGGTTTTGTTGGTTTTTGGGCCAACTCATGTGCACCTCAATTAATATCACGTGGTACCTCTGTCCACCAAGGGTTCAACCAGCATTGAGTGCTACGGGTAACTTTGTCCACAAGGCTTGGACAGAGGGGAAGAAATCACCTAGTTTTTTGCCTTTCCTGAGATTTGAACGACCTCATGGCTCTCAATAATCCACTTTATTGCAACTCTTGGATGCTGGGAAGTTGCTGCTTTTTGCTGTCACCTGCGTACATTCGATGCTATTTTTCTTGAAAGTCGAATTGGCATTGCTATTAGTAGTTGGCATGGAATTGCTTTTTTCCTCTATTAGTGCTTGTAATATGGTGTGTGATTATATGTGTGGTTTTTTATTTGTCATTTTCAGATTGCGATAAAATGCCTGCTTCCATAATTGAAATGAACCTGAAGAATATAATTGAGTTTGAGGAAGGATGGCATTTTATACAGGAGGCAATCGAAAAAGTGAAGAGAGTTCTGGAAGGACAGACAGAACCATTCAGGGTTGACGAATGCATGATGTTATACACGTATCCTTAACATTTGTTGTTCTTGAAGTTTGTCTTAATAAATGAAATATTATTTGTTTGGCCTGTACACACTGTATTGTATTGGTAATCTTTAAAACGTGGTAAACCTGCACTCTTGTCGTGGGAGGAAGCAGAAGCGTATTCAAGATTTTAGTAGCTTTTTACATATATATAAAATCCGTGTTGAAAGTCTTGGAGCCGAAAGGTTACATCTTCCCCCAGGATGAAGCTTCTCCTTAAT